GCACTGTATGCTAAATGTTGCCAACTTCTTTAACGATTGTTTGCGAATGGCGGGATCCGCACAGAGATATGAAGTGGGCAAGGGTATTCGTACTACATCTTGGCCCCACTTTGCCTATCTCTCATGTTGGAGCAGTTCAGGAGTGAGTTTGGCGTGATTGGTTGTTGTCCTGGGGCGGTACTGTTCCTTTATTTAGAGTACGTCTTGTGTGGTGGCGACGAGTAGAGAATCGCCTGAGACAAGTTATTGTGAATAGAGAGTGATAGAGGCGGAACCAGGTACAGCTCCCTGGTAAACGAGTCGCGATCTGTTCAAGGCCAAGTCATGCGCCAGTCATGCCACTTGAACCCACATTTCATGAGGTTTTGACTGGGTGCAGCCCTACTCGTCACCATACAGCTCATTGATCATCACGACATGGAATCAAGACCGCGTTACGAACGGATCGTCGGCATACTACTCCCCTGCACCCAGCGCTTGCCAGCCCCCCTTCGCCATCATGCCGTATCGTCTCCATCCGAGCCTGACTAGATCGACCCCTTGTTTCCCACTCCAGGCCAGGTTCAATCCAGCCCATCAACATGACCAACTCCATTGTCCGTCCCCGCTCGACCTCCGGCCTTGTCCCGCGTTCGCCTCATCATGCAGCTTCATCTCTATCTGAGCTCTCGCTTGCTAGATCCAATTCATGCGCATCCGAGCCTTGATCTCTTGCCCCCTGCCCCTCATCCTTCTCAATTCTTCCAGCCGTTTGGCTGCAACCATGTTCCGTGCTCGCCCGAACCCAGCCCTCTCCCGGCCCTCTCCCCCCAAGTACCGTCTCATCTCCAACCCACCTCCTGGTTACACGGATCCCTCATCGTTCACCGCACGTCCGCTTTGGTATGTTTCAGATCGTTGGCCGCTCCCATCTCCCTCCCACGCCGTGCCGTCTCCCCCGTCTCGTCTCATTCCAAACTGTTGAGCGACATCGACCCCTGGTCTCCCATACGAAGCCAGCAGTATTCTATCCCACCGTATCGAATGCATCGTCCGTCCTCGTCCTCCATCCCATAACTCGCCACGGCCTCCCCCCCCATCATGCGGTTTTGCCGTCCGGAAATATTGATCTCATACTCAGCCCCCCAAACCATTTTGTTATGCCCACAAATTGGCTGCACCGTTACTTAGCCCGGGCTCGCCGAACCATAGTTCTCGCCCCCTGACCTTTTCCTCGTCTAAACGTCTACCATCCTCGCAACGTCAATCCCACGCTCCCCAATCTCCGGGTCCTCGATATTCCATTCCAACTGTTTGGCTGCACCCATCGTCCGTGCTCACCCAAACACAACCCTCGCCCTGACCGCACCACGATCATGCCATCTGGCCTCCATTCGAGCTCGGGCTGGACCAATTTCCCCGAGCAAAATTCAATGGAACCCACCTTCTTCATGTCTGCACAGGAAGCTGCTTCTCCTGAAAATCAGCCTCACCATGCCCTCGGCCCCATCATACCATCTCGCCTCCATTCGACCTCCTGCTTAGTCTACACCCCTACCCTCAGAAACCCTCGTTCCACCCCACCCGTTGAGCTGAAACCATTGTCCGTACGTGCCCAACCCGGCTCCTTTGTCCCACCGTTCTCACATCATACCACTTCGCATCCGTTCGACCTCCTACCACACCGACCACGCGCCCCCCACCCGAAACCATGTTCACTTCCATTTGTCCTCACCCCTATTGGACCTTCGTCGAACCCAGCCTTTGCCACGAAGTCCACCCCGGCCTGCTGATCCGACTTCCTCGTTGACGGAGTTCTTATTGCCTTCACACTCGACGCCTGTTGACCCGCTCTCGCCTTCGTGGCATCGGCCCTCGCCAAAATATACCCTTCGCCGACGCTTCTCTCGCCGTGCTTTCTCGCGTACCGCCGCCGAGTTTTGACCCTTCTACCGCTATTTCGCGCAGTCTGACCTCCTGGCTGGAATGATTTCGTGTCTCCAAACCCACGCCTTAGTCATTCACTCCGCTCTGCGTGGCATCGTGCCTCGCCGATCCTACCCCATTCCCCGACTCTCGTTCCGCCCTGCCATCTTTCCTCCATTCCAACTCTAGCTCCTGGGTAGCCCGCGGGTGCCATCTTTCCTCCATTCCAACTCTAGCTCCTGGGTAGCCCGCGGCTTTGCTTCCCAATCCACGCCTCCTCCACTCACTCCGGTCTGCGTGACAATCGTCCTCGTCAACGCATTTCCTTCACCGACCCATATTCCGTCATGCCATCTCGCGTGCGTCCGACGCCTGGCTGGGCCAATGCGTTGCTTCCCATCCCAACCTTTGTAAACTCACTCAAACCTAAGAGGATATCTCATTTCAGCCCCTTTTCCCGATTCTTCTCTTGCATTCTCACCTCGTGCCCAGCTAGCTGGGCTTGGACCCTTCTTGCACCATGCAGGGGTGGCCAAGTGAGTTCCGGCGATGCCCACGTCTTCTCCACTCACTCTTACTTGCGTCTTGTCGCCCCTCGCCAAAGGAACGACTTCTCTGACCCTTCTCCTGCCGGGCTAGCGGGCGTCCAGCCGAGCTTTGACGCTTCTCTCCCCACCTCGTCTTGCGCCCATCGGAGCTCTCGGCAAGGCAGCTTCGTTCCCTTCCAACCTGCACTCCTCGTCCACTCACTCACCGTCACCCTCACGGCAGTGCCCCACACCTCGCCAAACGAGCCCACTTCCCCGGCCCGTTCTCCCCATGCAAACTCGCGCCGATCCGAGCTCCGGGCTATAGACTATATATTCGTTGCCTCCTGACCGACGCCTTGTTCACTCGCTTTCACTGGCGTGGCGTCGCTCCTCGCCCAGCCCGCGCCTACAGCCGACCCTTCTCCCGCCAAACCATCTCGCACCCAACCAACTGAGCCCCTTGGCTGGATCGATTATTCTGTCCATCCCAGCCTACGCCTCGTTCACCCGCTCTCATCGGCGTGGCTTTTCTTGCTCCTCGCCTATTCAACGCCAATGTCGTACTCCACGCGCCGTTGTGAGTGTAGAAGTTCTAGCAGTAGTTGGAACCGCCTCTACCCCATCGACTAGGGGAGGGAGCGTTGAGAGCGTGCGGTAATGCGCGTTCCGTGGCCACCAATACTGCCTGTAGGAAACTGCCGTATTTCATAGTATAGTATGTTAAAACAATCACCTTTTCGACAAGGGATGGAGCCATTTGGACCGTGTGGCAATACGTGTTTCGTGGCCCCTACGTACTCTACTGATAGATATGTTGAACTTGGAAAGTCGTGCGACATTCATGGTGAGGGGCTACGGTGCTACCTATTGAGAAACCTGTCGGAGAGCGGTGAGTCGGATCGGGCAAAGTTGTTTTTTAGATTACTGTACGCATGTATTAATATTGTAGGGTGACACGAACAAGCACCACGGGTGGGTCCGTTTCATCATCATGGCGATATCGTTGGGGTCTAGGAGAAAGCTTCAGCCTCTGCCAGCGGTGTGTTACTGTAGGTTGGTACCCTATCTATTGGTACCTTAACCAGCCACCGCAACGAGGCACGGTTGGTTTTGTTCGGGAGGTAGCCAGCCACCACGGTGTTTCACGCATAGCCCCGGTGGGGCGTTCGCATACCTTAAGAAGAGCCCTAGCCACCACGTAGTGTTAGGAAATTCGGACGGTATCTAATAGTTGGCCACACAATCGTCATATTATATTCGGGGTTCTTTCGTGTTTTAAGAGCCGCGGCTGAACATCTCGTAGCCTGGAAATCCAAAGAAGAACACCAAGGACATCATTGCGGGCCCGTTCTCATACCAAACATCGAAATCCAGCTATTTGCAGAAAAACAGGTGTAGTACGTAGTCCATAACCCGAGTTAACAGATACGGCAGGCAGACTCTCGCAGCCAGCAGACCAAGCAGAAGACAAACAACAAACTACAGCAGTAGAGGATAGATCCAGAGCTACCCCCGGCAACATCAGAAGCCTAGGCTACATGCTTCAGTCTAGGTCAACTACCCAAGGCCACAAGAAAAACAAATCACACTTAATTAATTTGCTGCGGACCGAAGGCACACACCAAATAGAAGGGAAAACATGCCATATAACTACGCCAACGACATCAAATATTTACAACTTAACATCCATCTACCCCCGGGGTGAGGATAAAGCCGACGACAGAAACCCTCCCCCAACATTACAAATACTATACGTCGGGTGCTGATCCACCGAGGAAACGCAAACATAAACTCGGAACACAAGCCTTTCGTAGTTGCGGTAATAGGTTTGGTCCTCCCTTCCCCCGTTGACAAGCTCCCCGCCAGTGCCCATTACACCATCTTGTCCATCCCTAGATGGGAAGAAAACATGAAAGCCCCCCCCGGGTCGACCTCGCCCTCCTCTTAGCATGCTAGTCTACTAAGATTGTCACCATACCAACAACAAAAAATATAAAAACGCACGAATGCGTCCTATACCCTGGTGCACTGAATGCCAGCCCGGCCCCCGACCGATCGAACACACGCTCCGAACGACATCATCATCAAAGGAGAAATGAATTAGAATACCAAGAGAAAAAAACGGCAACCCATAAGCACCGCAATACCCATCCGTTTGGGACAAAAAATATTGAGGCAATGCAGAACACACCGAATACGGTCCAAGTACAGCCGGAAAGTGAACGACAGAAAATCCAAGAGATAGAACACACGGGGTGCCACCGATCGCACCACCCGACTTGCCATGCACGCTTCCGTGGTGATTGCGACTTGCTCGGAAGCACGCGGAGCTACGTGAAAGCTGGGTGCCACCAACAGCAAACAGGGAATATATGCCAGGGACACGAAATCTGGTGAGAGATTGCGCTGGCCGAAAGACAAGACCTTCAGCCATCAACGTCCACATAGATGTGTATGCTAATGTAATGCCCGCTACCTCCTCGCAAAAACTCATACTTACTAAAATGCTGTCTGCGCTCCGCTTCACCGCGAGTAAATGAAAGACAACTCTCACTTAAACCCCCATGAACACGCCAGTCTCACGTGACACAAGACAAATGAACGCTCCTCCATAAACCTTGTGTACACGTCATGCCAAAAATCCGCCCCCAAAAATTAAAATATTCTCCGTAAACTCAATCCTATCATGTTTTTTATGTCCACCCATCCATTTTTTCTCCTCCTCCCATTGTTGTCGATGTTGTTCTACAAACCGTCCCGATCTCTGCCCAGTACCTTCTAACATCGGTACCAGTGCAAATGGCGGGGACCCCTGCCGTGGTCACAGGCCAACCATGTACCGACAGCAGGGTACACAACTCCCTCCCCCCGAAAAAAAGAAAATTACACAGAAAAACACGCCAAGAACGTGGATTCGAAAAAAAAAACTCGCTCAGTGCATTCCAACGACAAAACTTTACCGAACACCTTACCGGCCAGTGGATCGCCCTTCTGCAGAACACCACGGCGTTTCCGCCGTTGGCATGTACTGTGAGCCAAGCGGGCGTTTAGGATCAGAAACTGCGCACAAAATATGAAGACCAAGAGGGCTGCAGGTCAGCAGGTGTCTCCCCCCTCCAGAACATTTACCAATCCCCCTTCCATCAACCACCTCTCCATCACCACTGATCCCGCCTTATTGAATAAAAGCACACGATCGCTTGCGCGGCAAGACGTGCAAAGCCTATGTCCACACATGCAAGGAAAAAAGCTGGACTCCAAGCACATTTGGAAACAAAAAGAGAAGCCCCGCGGAGAGCCTTAAACAAAACACACCATCCGCGACACCAGCAGTCCACAGAAAAACACGTACTGTTATTCCCCCCCCCAAAAAGAAAGTGTAGTTTCCAGAAAAAACAAAATGTTGTTCGCACAATCTACGCTAATTCTGCTTCCACAATGATAATCCGTGCTTCGTGACCAACGCTTCCTACTAGCGCCAACTACAAATGTTTCGCCGAACCCCAAGTCAACCGACACTCTAACCACATCCTTGACCCCATACCCGTACACCTGATATGACAGCCCATACCAAGGTATATATACTGCCTCGCCCGACTCGCGTAACCTAAAGTAAGCCCTAACCCAAAACCGCGATAACAGCGGTGGCTAAACGTGCAGGAATAGTTAAGGAGCAAGGTACATCCCGCTACTTCGTCAAAAACCAGCGAGGGGCCGGCCACCCTGCACCACCCGACAGGTGCCAGGGGGGGCAACGGACTCTTTCACGTGGACTCTTTGTCTTCAAACAACCAAACAACCAGCGCCAGCGCGTAACAACAACAACTTCGGCCGCCGCTGCCACTGCCGCCGCTGCTTGTAGTACTGAGCACGTATGAGACGCACCCGGGAAGGGAAGGGAAAAAGGCACACACACCCTCCCACTCGTCCCGCGCCATACGCAGAGAGGAGACACGACCGAGCAAGCCGACCACGCGGCGGGTTGGGGCAGCAGCAACACGGCCGTCGCAAGGCAAGACTCCACCAAGCCTGCTGCAGCAAAAAAAGAAAAGCGGCCCCGAGAGCAACGAGCCAGTTTCAGAACGCGCTCCAGTGAGTGCTGCTCCCTAGGGACGACGTCCCCGGTGGCGGAAACGAGTGATGACAATACTCCGTCTTGATCGCAGCCATGTCTCCCGGAAGCACGCCCCCCGACGCCGGGTGGTCGTGTGGCCCGCGAGCCCCAGCCCGAACCAACGGCGGCCCTCCGTTGCTGCTGCTCGAGAGGTCGCCGCAAACGCCGCCGGCGCCCGCTGTTCTCGCGCCACCGCCGACGGCATCCAGGCGGCAGTCTCCCTGCGGCAAGGCATTGTACGAAGTGATTCCCGGTCTTTGGAAGGGGGACACGCCCGTCGAAGCTGTCGACATGGAGGGGCAACGCGCGTTCGTGGTCGATGACGGGTACAATGCCGTCGTGGGTGATTCCCCGATGACGGCGGAGCCGGCGTCCTTGACCCAGCCGACGTTGCTCGAGGGAGGCACGGACGGCTGCGGGGTGTGCTGCTTGTGGTGTGCGGGGTGGCAAGGGGGCCAGCTTGCTGTCGCTCTCGCCGTCGGGTTCATCCGTGCCGTTGGCTGATGACTCTCGTCGACATGCTTTGGAAGGAAGTAAGAAACGTTGCCCACTCCAGAAAGGTGTGACAGGAAAAACTGCTGCTGCGCCCCTAAGGGGTAACTCATCCCGCCAGAGGTGTCCGGTTTCGTCTCGTGCTTCGGCTGTTGCTGGGCGGTGGCGTTCTCGCTTTCCTGCGTCATGGCCTGCCGCATGAGGTCCCCTAGCCAAACATCAGCAGGCTCCAACTCCGGGATCTCCGACGGCATGTCCAGCCGCCCGCCTGGGGTGCCCGGCAAACGGTCAGCTTGCAACGACTGGAACTCGGGGATCCGCTCGTACTCCTCCTCCTTTGGCGCCACCGCCGCCGCTGCCCCCACCTGCAAGCACTGCTGCTCGCCAAAACCAGGGTATCGCGCACCACCGCCTTCTGTAAAGGACGTACCTCCGACCTCGAAACCGCTGCCGCCGCTCCCATCGCCACCGCCGCAGCTGTTCACGTTTATTGCGGGGGGATTGCACGGCCGTTCGGAAGGGAAACCCGGCATGCCGAACGACGACTGCTGCTGCTGCTGTTGCTGTTGCTGCTGGTGCTGGTGCTGTTGCTGTTGCTGTTGCTGCTGGTGCTGCTGGCTGTGTGGAGACGACCGCGGGAACTGGCAAGACGGGCCGTCGCTGCTACTGCTGCTGCTGCTGCTGCTGCAATAATCATTCGCAGCCTGAGGGGGAAGCGCCCACGTAGATAGGCCGCTACTCCCGATGCTGCTGTCGGGGAAGGGCTGCTGTCCTTGCTGTCCTTGCTGAGACAAGCCCAAGGGAAGCGTCTGAGAGCCGTTGATGTTCTCACCGCACGGTTGCTGGCTGCAAGAGATTCCGCCGGCAGAGCTATCGGCGCAACGAAGAAAGTCTGGCTCGACGGGCGGCTGGAAGAAGTTCGACGTCGGGGGGGGGCAGAGCGGCGGCGCGGAGCCATAGCCGTAGCCGTTGTTGCTGCTGCTGCTGCTGTTTATACCGTTGGTGGTGTTGCCGCCGCCGTCGCCGGTGTTGTCCTCGAGCTTGCAGCTGATAACGCCCGTGTTGAACCCTCCGTAGCTGATGCCGTGGTTCCCAACGTTGCCGCTGTTGTCTTCGAGCTTGCAGCTGATCATACCCGTGTTGACCGCGCCGTTGCTGATGCCGTGGTTCCCGGCGTTGTCCAACCCACCCACAGCGACCCCGCGTCCTTGGTGAGGGAGCGGGGCCATGCCTTTGGGGGGGTCCTCTCTCAACGCATCCGCAGCGGCTGCTCCTCCCCCGTCGCCGACCCCGGCTACGGAAGCATCGCCGTTCATGCCCGATTGGTCCGGACGGCGCTTCCTAATCTTACACATGTGGGGCTCGCGGTGAAGCACGCAGGCGGTTGGCTGACCCCCACGAACGCCGAAGCGTGCGACCTTGGTGCAGCCGTCGGCGTCGCAGCGCGCCCCCTTGATGTCCACCATGCCCGGGGAGCGGTGCTCTTCGCAGAAGGAGGCCACGAACTTGCCTCTTTCCGAAAAGTTGGCCTGGCGGGTGTAGCAGGGCACAAGCAGCAGCAGCAGCAGCAGCAGCAGGAATGAGGTAGAATGGGCAACGGAGTGGGCATCTTCGGGTCAGTGAGTTGGCACGTCTACCAGTCACAGAGAGAGTTATTAGACTGTACAGTAGCATGATTGATTTGAAACTTTACGTTCAGGGTCTAGACTACATTGAGGAAAAAACAACGCTGCAGACAAGAGAAGCTGCTGCTGCCGCACGAGTGTTGCTGCGGCTGCTTCGGTTGAAGAGACGGGCGTTAGGACGGAAATGGACGAGGAAATGCACCCATTACGATTACAGTGCTCGGTCCAACATGGGGTTAGCCTGCTACTTGTTGTTCGTCAGGGTTGTCGACAAACGCCGTGCCAAATTTTACTACCGGAGGAGTGAAATGTCGCTTACGTTTCGAAGAACTGCTGCAGCTACAATACAACCAAAAATATTGGCGAAGTGGGGGAATGAATGACAACCCAGCTATCCCGAGGTAACGCAAGCAAACACAGAGCAGGAGCACAACCGGGGTGCTCCGGTCTTTGGGCAACGTGATGACAGGAAGTCACCACAAGTGTCTTTGGAGGGAACGAAATGAAACTAATTTATTGCAGGAGTCGCCGAGATGCGAGGCCCTAGACTGCAGTTGCGACCAAACCACAAGATCAACCTATTTCAAGCCAATTCGGCTCTACAGCCTTGCAATGTCTCGCCCACCTGCTTTGTGCAGCCGATCCACTTGCAGCGCTTGTTCTTGAGATCCACCATGCCTGATGCAAAAAGATGCGGGAAATCATACGCGCACATGTATCACTACGTTAACTACCGAGTCAATGAAGACAAAGTGCTGTAGGTAGGGGGCCTTATGGAGAGAAATCCTCACGTGTGAACACGGGTTGGCGTAAACGGCACAAGCTGAGGGTGCTGATTTGAAGTGAAGACCAAAACAGCTACTAAAACATGCTCTGGTCGTCGTTTCGAGTGAAAAGGCACACACGACGTCCGCGTCCGTGAATCGGTGTTGCTGACGATGGAGGACGGGAAAAAGATGAGAACGAGCGCACGGTGTCATTCTGCGTCTATCTCGTTGAATGAGTTGCGAACATAGTCAAAGTTGACCTGTCGAATACTGCACTTCTTCAGAAAGCAATCCAAGTACCTGAAGCAGCTGCATTACTGTAGGTAGATCGCTACTTGATCGCCGAAACGCCAGCTGTATAGTAAAGCCATGGGAGACTGACCTTCCTGTCTGTGGGCGCCGCAGAACCTGGCCTTCTCGCCCCTGAAGCCGAAAAGCCTCCTCTTCATGCAACCCTCGAACTCACACCTCTTATTCTTGACGTCCACCATCCCTGTCATGACACGGTAAACAAGGTGATATGGGTGAAAATATTTTCATCTCCCTCGTTCTTGTCGCTCAAAGCAACGACTGTTGGTCTGCACTAACGATAGAAGCGGAATGCATTTCGTCACACATGTGTCTAGACCATTGGTCGGTGTATTTCGTTTTTCGTCACGCATCTGTCTGCATGGCAATTAGGTGGGTAAGTAGTTGCAGACAGCGCCTCCTACTTTGTGCCGCTGGCCATCGCGCTGGAAGGACAACAAATCCATACAAAAAACAGGTTTGTGTATACATACAAAGCACCACAATAGGAGTCTTTTGAGACCTGCCGCATGCACGAAGCGTACAATAGCAGTACAACAGGTACCCTCACGTTTGTTCGGAAGCCATCACACCAAACTTTTTATGTGCGTGAGGTAGATAAAAGAGAAAATGTGCAGTAACTAATGATGCATGCACATGTGAGGGGTGATTTGTTGTCGGCCTTCACCCGTTTTGCGATGGATGGACCTACATGAGAGTCTCCGCGCTCACACGGAAAAATGACATGTAGTCAAATTCAGTAGCTTAATATTTCCTTCAAACCGATACAATCCACAAGTAGCCCGCACTGTAATATAATTTCTCTGTAACGGCGCGCGTTCGTGTGTCTGCGAAAAAGGGGACGATAGTGCGGCAAATAAAAACTTCGCGAAAAACCTCGTTGAGCTGGTACACCACAGGGGAGACACTGCTGTAACCTCTGCATGCTGGTCGGAGATCGGAGATTGTTACATGCAGATGAATTCGTTGCGAAGTACGTAAGCCTCTGGATCCTTCTCTGTGGTAGAGAAATAAAATCGTTGAGTCTCTTCGAGTCTCGAGCGAAAGGCGATGACACGAACATAAACACAGCAGCGGAAGGAAGAAACTGTGGCTACACCCGCTATGAAGGAGACGGAGATAGATGTCACTGCTGTATGCTGCTGCTCGGGGAATGTACAACACTTTTGATTCGTTGCTACAAAATCCCGGGATCTACATTAGTCTATCTAGACTATGGGTAGAGATCAACTTCGTAGATTGTAACAAAATCGAATCAACTTTCGAAGATACGCGTGACAGAGGCATGTATGTATGTTACTTACTGTGCGCAATTCTCGGTAGATTGTAACAAAATCAAATCATTTCAAGAATACGGGCGGCAGAGGCATGTATTTTATGTTACTGCTTGTGCACTCTTCTCGATATATTGTAACAAAATCATATTATTTCGACCATACGCGCAACAGAGGCATGTATGTTACTGTGGACTCTTCCCGCGTCTAGAGACGCAAGACGCGCAAATTCGACGTGCAACGTCAATTCATTGTCGAAAGGGGGGATTTGTGATACCGACGCGGTGTGAATGAAAGGAGAAAGAGCCCTCATGTATGGCGCGTGCCTGGGTCCAAAGAAACTAGCCTGTGCTCAACTTCTCCGTGGTTTTGTATTGCGTGTAATGCACACGTTCGACATGTTCGTCTGATTTCCACATGAATGGCATGCGGATGGGCGGCGGATAACGAGCGGGAGAGAGACCAAAATGGGGTGTTCCACGTCGACGTATCATACAGTATGTCTTGCATAAAGTGCCGGATCAACGTCTGTCTTTCGTTTTGCGGTTAAAGAAAGGGGTGACGTAGATAGACTACGCGTCACGACCTCTCTTTTTGCATACGAAACCGTGTTGCTCTCTCGGACTAGTCGATACTCGGGCTTGAAGGCGGCACCACGTTGTTACTCATTCATTCGTGCTGACACGGCGGTTCCGTCGCAGACGGGGGGTGGTGCGGATCATGCTCTCTGTTCGCACAGAATTATGGGGACCATTAAAATGTGCGACTGGTAGAGACGCAACCAGTCCTTCGCTGGCGCCAACGGATCTGCTGCATGCGTACGCACAAGTTCTATTAAAGGTTGAGTAAGAAGAGGTGTATCTGATGAGTTAACTCGCCGTCCGTTCGACATGTTCGTCTGATTTCCACATGAATGGCATGCGGATGGGCGGCGGATAACGAGCGGGAGAGAGACCAAAATGGGGTGTTCCACGTCGACGTATCATACAGTATGTCTTGCATAAAGTGCCGGATCAACGTCTGTCTTTCGTTTTGCGGTTAAAGAAAGGGGTGACGTAGATAGACTACGCGTCACGACCTCTCTTTTTGCATACGAAACCGTGTTGCTCTCTCGGACTAGTCGATACTCGGGCTTGAAGGCGGCACCACGTTGTTACTCATTCATTCGTGCTGACACGGCGGTTCCGTCGCAGACGGGGGGTGGTGCGGATCATGCTCTCTGTTCGCACAGAATTATGGGGACCATTAAAATGTGCGACTGGTAGAGACGCAACCAGTCCTTCGCTGGCGCCAACGGATCTGCTGCATGCGTACGCACAAGTTCTATTAAAGGTTGAGTAATAAGAGGTGTATCTGATGAGTTCACTCGCCGTCCGCATGTAAACTGGCTCTGGCGTGGTTACTTGCAGAGCAGGGATTGGGCATTTTGTGTTGTCCGCAGCACAGCGCAGTGTATAATTGGTACAAAACGCAAAACAGTATTTTTTTCTGTGTGTGGTCCGCTTCTTCTGTCGCCAAGATCTGCCAGCGGGGGTGTTGTCAAACACTTAATGGGAATGGGAATCCAGAACAACGCCGCCCAGAGAAAGAGCTTGTTGGTCCTTTCATGCGTGGTGGCACGCAACCGCTTCTCCTCTCATCTTTGTTCTGGTTGAGCGAGCGTGCACGGCCGACTGCTGTGCCATTGCGTGCCAATGCAGTGAATCGTGACGGCTGATGACACAGGCAGCAGGCTCAACATTGATCTGTCTCTGGTGTACATGTTTTGGCCCCTTCAGTGCCGTTCCGGGGTATTGTCATGATGTCGTGCGTGCGTGTCGAAGACGTCAATGTGTGCAACTCTCTTGGTGGCTGTTCCTCCGCGCAAACTTGTGAGAGGCGACACAGAACGGCGACACAAGCCCAAAAAAAATGGCCACACTACGATCAGACGAACCAGATCCAACGCGCGCAAGCCTGTCCCCGCGAAATGCGAGAGGAACAAAGCCGCATCCACCTTTGACGCCAGAGATCTTGCAACATTGCATTTATTCAAGGCTTGTGCGGCGGGTGTCAAGAGGTTTGAATGCTGCATTCGGGGGCGAGGATCGGCCTTTTCGCTGCCCGCGTGAAATCAATCCACCACCGTTGATCCTCTCGTCTTCCCCACGATGCAACGACAGTCAAGCTTGCCCCTTGCGATGCTTGATATCGCTTGCTTGCGGGGCGAGAAGCATGCGGGTTGCCGCGTGCGGTAGCACTGCATGCACGGGTCTTGTGGTAAGGCTTGCGTGCTTGTTTGGTTAGAAGTTTTGAAGAGTTAGTTTATCACCAGGAAGAGCCCATTTATTCTCTGCTGCGCAATAAGTTCGCCAGCTCTCCAGCAAGGTGCAACGCGTGAGGCAAAACAGCTCCTGCCGCCAATCTCGCAATACGAGTATCGCGCAACCCAGGCATAGCTGTCTATCAACCACGCCACTGCTGTACATGCACGCGAGCACTCTCTCTCTGA